AGACAGTCGAACAAAGGCAAAAGAGGAGATGGGGCATCCAAGTTTAGAAGAAGGTAGATTTGGATATCAACCGCGTAGCAGTGGTAGAATATGTTATGTTTTTTTAAAGATGAGTCCCAAGGGCAGCATGTTCAGGGAGAACAGCGTAGGGCTTAATACGGATCCCTGAGGCACACCACAGTTAACCAGGGCAGAAGAGGAAGAGTATTTCCCCATGGTGACAGAGAAGGATCTGTCTGATAGATACGATTTAAACCATAAAAGAACTTTACCTTTAAGGCCAACTACATCTTCCAGCCTTGTTAGGAGAATATTATGGTCAACCATATCGAAGGCAGAAGTTAGATCTAATAAAACTTGAGCCACGGGATGCCCTGAATCAGCGGTTAAAAACTCTCAATAAAGCTGTCTCGGTACTATGACAAGGTTTGAATCCAGATCGAAATTTGCCACTGACACCATTTGTCTCTAGGAAGGACTGTAGTTGCTGGATAACTATATTTTCTAAAATCTTAGACATGAAGTTAAGTTTACAAATTGGCCTGTAATTTGAAAGAGCGTTGCTGTCAGAGTTGCTTTTATTAATATCAGGTTGCACGACTGCATGTTTGAAGGCAGTCGGAACACGGCCTGATGACAAGGAAGAGCTCATTAAAATTGAGATACAGGGTCCAATAGTAGTCAGAGCATCCTTAATAATGTTGGAAGGAAGAATGTCATTTAAAGCTTTGGAAAACTGAAATGGCTTGGACTCTGTCCAGCAATGGAACCACACCCTCGGCGGTGCCGGACGAAATCCAGAACAGGCAACCCAAACTGGCACTTGGAAGGGTTGATGAAAAGGCCGTGCGCTGCCAAACGCTGGAAAACCTGGCGCAGATGGGACTCGTGCTGGCTCGCCGAGCAGCTGGCCAGCAAAATATCGTCCAGGTAAAGATTGGCGAGAAAATTACTGAATGTGGGGGATGGGGTAACGGTCACTCTCCGTGGCATTATTTCAATGGCGGTAATCTACGCATGGCCGCCACCCACCATCCGATTTGGGCACTATAATTCCCTCGAAGCACAGGCAGACGCAAGTGGTTTTCTGTCACTGGTTTATTTGAAGACTTCTCTCCAAAGCCACCGTGAAAACTATACAGCATTAACAAAATAAAACTCAGCGTAAGACACAGCAGTAAAACACTGTACAACAACACGATAAATAAATAAATACCTCGTTGGCTGCATGCTGCAAAAGGGGAATTAGCCACCGTTCTTCTGAGGTTTCCTTAAGTCCACTTAACATGTTTTTCAATAAAAACCATCCTCTCTGCGCGCTTACAGGTGTTTTTTCCTTCTTTTTACTCAAAGAGGAAACTAGCGCAACTTGTAAGCGAACTTGACTTTCAAAATAAAAGCACCAAACGTTGACTACAAAAAACAAAAAGTAATGTACAGCTTAAACAATTTACAATCATGACATGGATCTTGACAAGACAAAGAAACAATACAAATTATATACAATGCCATCATGCCAACAGCTACAGGCACCATGTGAAGCGGAGAGGCCCATGCACTGTTCAAGCACTGTACAATGCCAAGGCGCTCCATGGCTGCAAACTTGTTTTGTTGGAAAACAAACAAAATGTCAGTGATTGTCAGGCTAAGGAGAGAATCAGAGGCAGACCGTCTCAAAAGTTCACAATTTATTTACAAACAGACACCAGGTGCAGATATATACAGGTGAGGGGTCACAGGGAGAGGGTCTCCGGGAAACACAGGCACGGGAATGGAACACACGGGCTATGTACACAATCCTCCACTGACGCTCAGGTTTAGCTTGGACTCCGGCTTTTAGCTCACCAAACAGCGGTCCTCAGGCTGGCGAGAAATCTGGCACAGGGAGGAAGAACAGGTAAGTTGCGGCACAAATGAAACTCAGAGAAAGCTCGGACTTGCAATGACACTGACGAGTGTTACACAATAATCCAGCGAAGAAGCATTCTCAGCAGCCGCCTTAAGAAGTGAGCGTGGTGATGAGATGATTGCTTGCAGGTGTCAGAGCCAGGGGCTGAAGTCGTCATGAGAGAGAGAGAGAGACGCAACACAACAGAAAACACTTGTAGCCATAGAGAGTCAGCCGAGAAGGCACAGGGACCATGACAGTGATGGGTTGAGGCCGGGCTTTGATTACTGTCTCTGACACGCAACCAAAAAAATTCTCTGCCTATCCAAAATACATGAAAAACAATCTTTTCAACAAAATTTAACATAATAACGGGAACAAAATATATTTAAATGATCAAAGTAATCAAAAGGAAAATAGCAGTCAACAAAACATATGGAAATCCCCATCGCTCTCTTTCCTCACTACACACAGATGAAAAGCTGCTAATATCAATTACCTGGTACCACCAATATCCGTGTGATCCAGCATTCCCTAATTACTGCAATCAACCAACAAACAAAACAACATTGACAACTAATAATGAAAAATACGAATCACATTTCAAGTCGTAAATCCTTTTCTCTCAAACACATTCATGGCTCATGCATTACATATGTTAATCTAAATATGACAATTTTTGTATCAAATTTATTGATGAATTTGACACAATGACTTTGTATAGCACAATAGTCCTTTTCTCTACATGTTAAAATGCTGGCTTTGATACAGGGAACACATATTCTCCCTTGCATAGTTGATGAACTGGAGGCTTTTAGACAACAACTAAATCCATGAAAGCC